GCGCTGGTCCCAGGCTCGCACCGGGACCAGCGCGACGGTCGCCGTGGAGGGGGAACGACAACAGACAACACGGACCAGCAGCTTATACAAGCGATCGCTTGGATGTCAACAGGCATCACTGACTGTTTTTAAATTTAGGCAGTTACCAGCTCGAGTGAGTGCGACGCGCGCGATCCTGGCTGGACGTTGAAACACGCCCGCTCAGATCTAGGGAACTCCCAGCCGGCCGTATGTTGTCGGCAGGCGGTTAAAGAAGAACTCCGGGCATAATTATTCTTAACTCTTGCAGTGGGGCTACCACCGCTCTGCAAGGGTTAACTGCATGTTTTGGTCTAGGGACAAAACGTTATACTCACCTGAACCTCGGAGCTGGATGGCTGCTACCCTGGTCCCTGCAGCCTGTCTTCCCCTCTACTGGTCGCTTGGCATCCTCATGTCCTATACACTGTAGAGGAAATGATGACTCACTGGGCCTTAGACCATATTCAATGGACTGGCAACACACCCCAGCATATGCAAAATTGGACACAACCCTTTTCTTGTAACACAATGCAGAGCAACACATTACCATGTGTTGCAGCACGCTACAACGCAGGCGCTTTGGGGTGACATTGGAAATGCACCAATGTGCACGTTACCGAAACGCATGAGGGATTAGAACTTTAGGGCCCATTCACACCAGAGCGACACGGTAATGTGCATTCTGAATGGCACTGCAAGGCAGCTTCCCGGAGCACCTGCACTGCAATGCTAGGTAACGCACTACTATGTATTACTGCTACTGAAAATGCTTCATGTGGTTCTTGGTGCATTATCAAACCCATTTAAATAAATGGGCCATCCTAATGCAACATGCGTTAATGTGCAAGCGCTGCAGCGGACCTTGCTGGTGTGTATGGGACCTAAAGGCTTTTTCTAGGAAAAGGCTGAGTGGGCATTGAAGGGTTAAATGCTTTCTTAAAGCAGCAGGCCTTTTTTATCTTTCTCTCAGGCTCACTGACCTGTAAGAAGCGGAGTGACCGGCCTTCCTCTCCAATAGGAGTCTCCAGTCTGTGTGTGTCCTCCCACAACCTTGTACAAAATTGTGTGTATCTTCCTGCACTCCTTACCGGATCTCCTAGGAGATGATGTCTGTAATAGGGTGCTTGTAGTGACCACGGAGGCACCGTGTAGTCAAGTAGTAATTCCAAAAGATGTCACCAGCACTCCAGAAGTAGATTCAATATATTTTAATGACAACGGTCATTCAAAATCACAAGTACTTTCAGGGCCACGTTGGGTCCCCGTCATTCTGAGCCTGTCACTGACAACTCACTCTGTGTGCAGCAGAGACACATGCTTCTGCATGGTAATGTTACAGAGCAGCCAATCAGGATTTTCTAAAAATGCACGTGAGGGTGTCAGCGCTCCCTGATAGGCTGCACCGTTATAAACACTATCCTGGACCTTCTCAGCTGATCTGCCCAGACTTCGGTACAGTGGGAGAGAGTCGTAGGCGTGGCCCTATACATCGAGCCCAGCCAGTGGGCGTGACCGGGAGGAATCATCGCGTATCGGGGGCGTGGTTAGGAGCAATGCAGTGGGCGGTGAGAGTGTGGGTGGCGCCGGGAGCTGCAGCTGGTAATCGGGGGACTATCAGCGATCTGGAGGAGCCGCCGGAGCGAGGTGAGATGGACTATCCCTTCAATTATGTCTGTATAATGTGCTGTGTTCCGAGGGGAGGGGGCAGAGATTGAAAGCCCGCTATGGATATATTAATGGGGCCATCAGATAATGTTTGTCGGCACTAGGTCTGATTCAATGGGGAATAACTATGCTGGAGCAATTTGCCTTGTGCTACATATCGATCGATCGATATCTCACATTTCATAAGATCACATCACATTTGTCCATAGAAATCTCCCCAGCCTGTGTAGAGGATCATCCACGCTGTACAATCTTCTTTTTTTTTCTCTCCTTCCATCTTGTTTGTATCATTCAATTTGAACAA